CAACCTCTTTTGTAAATGGTAAATAAAAGTCTAATAACTCTACAACAATATGACCTCCTGCCCCTGCTTACTTTTGTGTTCATGGACTTGTGGAGACCAGTCTTCCTGACTCACAGCCAAGTTCAGCCTGCCTCCTGGCTCCTTCAGTGGGTATAGCCAACCTGACCCCCAACTGAGGGAGGCTTCAAATTTTTGTCCAAATTGCCTGCATGAACCTCAAACAGCAGCACCTTTGCAGACTTGTCTACCTGACCCCCTCATCCAGGACTTGGATTGGGCTTTTTCCCTAAGTAAGACACACTCAGGCAGGGTTACTTGGGAAAGAAGGAGATCTGGGGCTAGAAGTAACTACCCCAGTACAGTCCAGCAAGGGCAGGAATTGGGATGTTTGGCATGGGCGGGAAAGCTGGGAAAGCAGTTAATCTCTGGAATGATGGTTGCTAAGACCTCTGAACTGGGAGCTCAGGATAGCAGATGGGTTCTGGAAGGGAGTCGGGCTCCAAGACAAGCCCAGAAACTTGAACCAAAGTAGAGTCGATTTTGGAACTGGCCATGGAAGGAGAAAGGGCCAAGTAGCCAGCATGAGCCACATTGGGACAAAGAAGGAGGGGACAGCTTAACTGAAGAGACCAGTGAATATAGTCAGCACTAGGGTAGACCCTGCCACTGGGGTAGAGCTAACCAAGTCCCACCGACTTAGGGAACAGCAGGGTGAGGGGCTCCTTGCTCAGTCACATCAAGAAAGGCCCAGATCTACAAGCTGGTACAATACTAGGTCTGTAGGGAAAGAGCTGAGAGGGCAGGTACAGCATCTGGGGAGGGCCTTCCACTCTTGGACTATAAGAATGGAGCATTAGCTCCATGGACAATCAATAGACACTAACTGAAGAAATCTGTAGTTATTTTTCCTTCCCTGTGGCTGAGCTCAGCCTTTCTCGTTATTTGAAAAATAAAGTGCTTTTACAGTTTGACAGCCCTTGGTCTGAATTCAGATTCTGCCACTTAAATGTGATATTGCTGTGATAATGACAAGAACTAATATATTCAAAGGACCTGGCACCAGCTTTGTAGCTACTGTCATAGCTCAGAAGACAGTTGCTATTTTTAGTTGTAGAAGAGAATATTTAAGGATAGCTCACTGTGGCCCACCTAGGAGGGCACATTTCCTGGGGGAGAGGGCTTCTCCAAGCAGACCTTCCTGAGAGTGTTTCTACCCAATAATAGGCCTGGAATCCTTCCCTATGTACTGGGAGGAGAGAAGACAGAAGATGGAAGTAGAAGAGAGCTGGGCCTCTGTAAGCTGCAACTTGCAGCTCTGTCCCAGTGCAGAACCCAGCTGGAAAAGTGTGGCAAACCTTCTGCCCCTGTTTCTCCAAGGACATCAGGGATTCTGTATCTCTTTGATAACAGAATATTTTCTCTTTCTTTCTCTCTCTCTTCCTTCCTTCCTTCCTTCCTTCCTTCCTTTCTTTCTTTCTTTCTTCTTTCTTTCTTTTTTTTCTCTCTCTTTCTTTCTTCCTCTTTCTTTCTTTCTTTCTACTTTCTTTCTTTCTTTTTTCTCTCTCTTTCTTTCTTTCCTTCTTTCTTTAAAAAGATGGGGCCTAGCTATGTTGACCAAGCTGCTCTTGAACTCATGTGTTCAAGGATTCCTGAACAGCTGAGACTATAGATCCATGACATCACACACAACACAACAGAGGCTTCAAAGAATCCAGAGTGCTGGCTACTAACAGGCAGCAACACTTCTCTGACAGTCTTCAGGGTTTCTAGATGAGGATGGGTTAACAGGGATAATGAAGATGATGTTGCATGAGGACCACGGCAGGCAGATTGGCATGTGGACACAAAGAGGTTCTTTTAGGAGACAGAGGTGTTCTGAAGGGTCTGGATTCCAGAATGAGGTGGTTGTGGCATGAGCCACCATAATATGATTAATAAAGTGGATTAGCAACAGTTTGATGCTGGGAACATTCATGTGACAAGAAATCATGCCAGTGCACTTCTTTTGCTAAATGAGGTCCTGTCACTTATCCAGTACTCAGTAATTCACTCAATCATTCCTGTGGAAACACATGTTCTTAGTCTTATCATCTATGCTGGGCCCTAATCTAGGTGTAAGGTGGACAGGTTCTAAATAGACAGAAGAAAAGAGGAAAAGAACAAAATTCCTTCTGCAAGTTGCTGATAGCAGAACCCTGGGACTAGAGATAGCTCTATTCTAAAAACCAGTAGCCCTACTTATAAATGCCTCCTGTCTTAAAATTACATGATCTAAACTCTAAATGCATAATCTCCCCCAAGAGCATGACAAATGGATCTAAAACTATAACATCCTTCAAACATGAATCGTACAGAAAAGGTGAGGGATATTAGCATAGGTATCATGACGTTACATGTATGGATACTCCTTGACCTATGGAGTTTTATCCAAATAAATCCATGTTAAGTTGAAATCATTGTAAGCCAAAAATGCATTTAACACACCTAATTTACTGAACATCGTAGCTTTGCATCACTGTACAGTAGAGTATCAGTGGTTGTTCCCTTCTGATCACCAAATGGGCTGAGAGCTGTGTCTTGCTGTAACATCTCCATGCTGTATATTGCTAATCCAGAAAAAGATAAAAACTCCCGACTGAAGTTTGATTTTTTACTGAATGCATATCAGTTTTGCATCATTGCTAAGTAGAAAAATCCTAAATTGAACCATTTGGGACTGTCAATAATGTGAATCTTTAGGATTCTTTTTTTTTTTTTTTTTGGTACTGGGATTAAACCTAGAGGTTTAACTACTGAGCCACATTCCCAGCCCTTTTTATTTTTTATTTTGAGACAGAGTCTCAATAAGTTGCTTAGGACCTTGCTAAGTTGCTGAGGCTGGCTTTGAATTTGCGACCCTCCTGCCTCAGCCTGCTGAGCTGCTGGGATTACAGGTGTGTACCCCACACCCAATTCACTCTAGAACTTTTTAAGAGGCTCCCCACAGATCTTCAAAAGGATGGTATTCCCAGAAATCCACTCTAGACCAGATTCCTCTTCCCTAAATGTCCATATTCACAGGAGCAGCTGAACACAGCTTCTGACCAACATGCTTCCGACCCACTTCCAGGTTTACTCCTCTTCCATGCCCCTTCCTTCCTCCTGCCCACCCTGTTCCATGCCCACCTCCAAGCCCCCTTTGGCAGAGGAAAATCAGAGCGTCCATTCTCGCCTTCATGGTTGCACCAAGCTATTTCACGATGGCTGAATCCTCGGTCCTGTGGAAGGAAATACTCAGAGGCCAATACAAATACAAGTTCCTGCCTCACTTCAGCCACTTACCTTTGAAATATACCTCAGGAGTCTCAGGAAATAGAAGGGAGACCATAGAAGGGAGACCAATAGTGTAGAGGAAGGGAATGAGGGGGCATGACAAACTACTGAGAAACAAAATCTATCAAAGTATAATATGTCCATGTATGAATATACTCCAATGAATCTCATTGATATATGTGTGTGTATATATATGTATATATATAAAATTATAATGCACTAATTGAAATAATAATAATAATAGTAGTAGGGATATCAGTAGAGTAGAGCAAGTGGATCTGGGATGGAAGAAAGGAGGGAAAGGAAAGGTGCTGGAGAATGAGATTGATCAAATTATGTTATGCACATGTACAAATATGGCATAATGAATCTCACTATTACACATAGTTATAATGCACTAAATTATAATTTTTTTGGAAATAGAATTTTAATTTATATATACTCAGAGAAAAGAAAAAGTCCTATAAAAATTACCATATGAAATTTATTATAAAGAAATTCTCTATTATATATATGTGTTATTGTGCACATGTACATATCTAAGTGTATATGCATTTTTAAAAAAATATACATTCTAAGGAGCAATAATAGTGTTGTCTTGTGTTTTTTTAGAACTTAATTTGTTAGAGAACAAACTAAAATATTTACATATAAGTAGGTGGGAAGCTTGTATTTACTTTAAAATATTTTAAAATCCCCGAAAAAATAAAATAAAAAAAGGTTGAGGGTAAGGACCAGATGAAATAAGACCAGAAAATTTTAAAACTTGTTGAAGCTGACAGATGGGAAGGAATGAGATTCTCTCTACTTTTGATGTGACTGTAAATTCCCATTAAAAATTGTTTTTTCTTCTAGTGTCTAAAAGAATAAGTGAGAAGGACCTGAAGGAATGATGAACAATTGATCTGAATATGAGTGTTGTCTTTGTTTTAAATTTATTTCAAGCTGGGCACAGTGGTGCACACCTGTAATCCCAGGTACTTAGGAGTTTGAGGCAGGAAGATCGCAAGTTCAAGGTCAGTCTGAGCAACTTAGTGAGATCTTGTATAAAATACAAAGTAAAAAAGGACTGGTTATATAGTTCCACAGCCTAACATATATAAGGTTGTGGGTACAATCTTCAGCACCACAAAAAAAATGTTTTAAATTATTTCAACCAACACTGATTATCAGAAAATTCTGATATTGGGTGAACCCAGTGGCCAATGTAAAGAGAGTCAGCCTCATAAATCATTGAACTTTCCAGGTTTAAGTTTCTTTCCCTATAAAAGGGGATAACTACCTACTTTTACAGAATAATATATGCAAAATGTTACATGTAAATATTACATGTAAACATGGCCTTAGCTCCATGAAGATAAAGACTGTGTCCTGGTTTTCACTGTTGAACCCAATCTGTCAAGTTCCGTTCCTGGAACACTGTAGGTGCTCAACAATACTTGAATAAATGGATGAGGCTCAGTTGAGCTGCCATGGAGGGTTGGTTTTAGGGATTGGATTAGCCCCACATCACCCCTTGGCAGGCAACAAAGCACTACCTAAAAAAGGATTAATCCCAGTTTCCTCAAATAGGCAGACACTGGCCTTCCTTGCTATGGTTACTGTGCCCATCCAGTATCAGAATTTGTTCACAATCTTGGTTGAAGTAAATTTTGTCCACATCATTTCCCACCCCTTGACCTGGGTTGTTAGCCACTGTCATCTTCTTTCTCCTCATTCCCTTTCATGTGTCTGTGGCCATCGCCATCCTCACAGACAGCTAGATGGTCTCTAAAGGATCTGTCTTTGCACTGTGGAACTGCAGGGGGAGGCCTGAGAGCATGCCTGTGGCGAGGACAGCAGTGCGGGCCCCACTCCCTGCAGCTGCAGGGGCCCTCGGCTGTCCAGACATAAGCCCCTACAGGCACTGCCAGCAGCAAAACACACAGGACCACCGAGATATGTAGGAGGCGCTCGCGGTCCTCCAGCCTGCCACCATCTCTGCCTGTCACAAAGACGACACATCTGCCCTCGTGTGGGGGCCGGCTCCCCATACTGAGGCATGCCTCATATTTTGTGCCAGGGAGGAGGTTATTTACAGCATATGTGTTGATTCCAGGGCCAATGTGGACCACTTCTTTTCTGAGGGCTTCATCCGAAGTAATATAGAGGGTAAACCACTCCTCAGAGATGTTGGCTACTGCAAACCACTCCAGCAAGATCCCGTGCACGGTCTGCTTCACCACCCGCAAGTCAATGTAGGAATTACCCTCCCGGGAGATAGAAAGAGAATAGGATGCAGGCAGGACCTGGGCAGGCTGGACATGGAGGGAGATGACCAGCGTGCTCCTGCCAATGAAATTGGAGGCTACACAGGTGTAATTGCCACTGTCTACCAGGTGAACAGCAGGGATGATCAACTGGGACAGAACAGCATCTTCTGCAGTCGAAGAAGTCAACACTGGGTGGAGAAAAGAGAAAAGTAGCTGTGCATTGTTCTGATAAACAGTTGGAAAGTTCTAGCAATGCTGGTTTTGTTGTTGTTGTTGTTGTTGTTAAAAGATGATGCTAATCATTTGTTAAGCATGTACCTGGTGCTGGATGTTCACCTCTCAGAAACTCTGTAGGTACCTAATCTTACATATAGAATGTTGAGGACTGGATCAATCTACCAACTTACCCATAGTGAGAGCGATTGCTGCTGTTCAGAAGCAGCAATTAAACTGAAACCCAATTCTATCTATGAAGCCCACACACTTTCAACATCAGTAACTACTCCCAACAACCACAGTAGTCTTATTGAGCTTAACAGCTTTCAGGAGATTTCTTGTAATTGTGTGACTGACCAATACTGTGAGCTCCAAGAAATGCTTTCTTACCTCCCAAATGTGCAGTGCTCAGAGTTTGGAGTCAAATTTCTGGGTCCCTATTCCTTGCTAATTGTATGGTCCTGGGCAAGGTGCTTAAATTATCTTCAACTTACTTGTCAATAAAATGGGATGATAATAGCATGCACACCACAAGTTTGAAGATAAGGGTTCAATAAGTCTTAGCTGTTGTTATTTCTAGAAGACTAGGCAGAGCATAGTGCCAAGAGTGATTTACAGAATAACAAAAGATAAGCTCTGAATGCATTTCACTGGTTTTCAAAAAGACTGAATGATAAATTCTGTATTTCTCCTCCATTCGCATTTAACCATCAACTAACAGGATGTGACCAAAATGATGAGGAAAACTGAAAAACTCAGTTAATTTTTTTTAATCATCTAGAGGATGTAACCATATTATGACAACTGTCTTGGTGACTAACTGCATTTCCCAAGTTTTACCTTGATACTTCAAGTAGTCTTCTAGACCTAGACCTAAAAATATGCAAAAATCAACAAATTTCCTTTTACCTTCAAGATACTCTTGAGGAAGCCATGTCTGGCTTTGTGGCATGGACAACCCTACAGGCAATTCCACCTGAAGTGTGAAAACAGAGCTTAGAGCTTTGATAAAGAAAGACAAATCCCAGTTCTGGGGGCCATGGAATTCTCTTTATCTCCCTGTACCCAAGTATTATAATTTTAAGGTATAAAATCTGACCAACACAGTAGTAAGAAGTGAAAATTAAGTTAGTATCTAGGAATGTCCAGCTTTTCCAATTAACTGAGAGGTAAGAGGGTGAAAGATCAATTGCTGAAATATATATTCTGTCCTGGACTCACTGAACTCATATCTCCAGGGCACGGGGATTGAAAAATTTCATTTCAAACAAGCATCTCAAATGATTCCTTTCCGGCAAGTTTAGTAAATAAGTAATAAAATCAATTCTAGTTGGAAATTCTAGGATTATAAAATTTGCAGTATACTGTTTTCCATCTAGAGGGCTCTTAAAAATGTATTTATTCATATACAATTCTAAAACATGTATACAATATGATAAATCAGCAATAACATGTTTATTTATGTCCCTATGCCTATATGTCCTGGAGAGATCTGTATGCAACCATTTAAAACACTGCCAGTGGACTGGGATGTACCTCAATGCTACAATGTTTCCTAGCATACAGGCCTTGGCTCTGATCCCCAGCTCTGCAAAAATAAAGTGAAATAAAATAATGCTGGTAATGAAACACTGTCTTGGAATCTTTTCTATTTTGGTGAGTGTAATTCAGATCTATTCCGATTTTACCTATACCCAGCCTTCATAACTGACACATTTTAGAACCTCCTTATTGATGTAGGATTGCTACAGACCTCTCCATTCTCCCTAGATACCCCAAGAGGGTACGTGTGGCTTACCATTAAATTTTCTCCAAATGCTCAGGGGATAATTCCATGAGATGGTTGGTGAGGGGCTGGCCTGTGCCAAGCATTGCAGAGTCACATTCTGTCCTACCTGAATAGTAATATTGGCACTAGGGGTTGAGATCTGTGGCTTCATGCAAACACTGAGCTTAATCTCATGAAGTAGCTGCCCTGCCTTGTAGACAGGGTCCTGGCATATCAAGTAGGAATTCACCAGGATGACTGGAAGGCTATTGGACTTGACAAACTGGACAAGTCCTCTTAGACGACAGTCACATACCCAGGGGTTGTTGTCCAGTGCCAGCACCATGCTGGAGAGAATCTTAGCCCGACAGTGAAGTTGCTGGCATTTCTGGTAGGACGGCCAGTTCAAGAAGACATTTTTGGATACGACTGTAAGCCTATTGGAGGATAGGTCAAGGTAGGTCAGGTTGGCTAGAAACTGAAGAGCCAGCTCAGGGAGTATATCAATCCTGTTGCCTTTGAGATCCAAGACCCTCAGGAAAGGGGTGGCACGGAACGCTGTCCATGGTACTGAACGGAGTTTGTTCCCCTGCAGTCTCAACTCTCTCAGTTCTGGCAGATGCTCCAGGGCTCCTAAGTGGATCACAGTGATATTGTTAAAGTTGAGCCAAAGGTATTCCAAGGTGCTCATGTTGACGAAAGGCCCTCGGGAAAGTTCAAATATGGGTGAGTTTTCAATTCTTACTTGCTTGAGCTCTTGAGGAAGGTTCTCTGGAATATTTCCCAAAGAGATAGACATGCATTGCAGAGTCCTGTACAAGAAATCAGAAAAGCTTTAAAATGAACATCAGGAAAGTTGGAAGGGATGTCAAGTGGATCCTTGCATTGTACATGTGAATTATATGAAAATATATTATTCGCTTAAAATAATAGAGATCTATATTGGTAAAAATACTCAGCTCACAAAGTCCAACACCAACTAAGGTGAATCTCATAGGAATTTTGCTGATTTCCTGCCAATTCTGGGCATGTGTCCACTCCATATCATTCCCAACAAAAGTCCATCCCCTATAACCCTCTGGCATCCTGCCAGGACAGCGCACCTGCCAAAACTCTCCTCTGAGCAGGTGCATCCTTGCAGACAGAAAGGCTGAACTGCATGTGTATCCTGAAAGACCAGAACTAGCAGAAAGTAGTGAAAAACCAAAGCCATATTTCTCTGTAAGAAATTGCTGTGTGCTTTGAATAAGCGTAGTCCCAGTTTCCGAGTGGCAAATCCTATTACTGGTAATCCATGGTGATGTAGGTCAGCACAGCAGCAGCAAAGCCCCTGGATGCTCTAAAGTCTGTTATGGCCCAAATCATAGGCTCAGGCAGAGTCCATGCAGAGGGAGTTATGCCTCTTGACCAAGGCATGAAAATTCACCATTTTTCTGGTTGCTGGTTCTGGAAATTTAAGTCAGATATCTAATTACATCCTGGTTCTACCTTCCTTCAGCTTCTTTCAAAAAAGTCTGAGAAACCAGCAGGTAATGCTGTTCTGAGCATCAGGGTTCATTCATGACCAGGGTCCATTTCGTATTTCACCATTCACAATTGGCTCCTGAATCCCAGCATTTTCAACCATTTTCTCCAAGTGAAAGCAGATGAGGAATAACAAAGTAGTTCTTTGATGATTCCAATCATTTGTTCTCTCCCCCATACCTTGGTGGTGTAGTTAGGCATGCTTCCAATGCATCAAGACTACTGCATCTGCAGCTTGACCAGAGGCTGACCAGAGTCAGACAAGCATCATGATGTTGTTTCAAACACAAGATGGTATTTTATTGTTGTTGGTGGTGCTGATGGGGTTTTTGTTGTTGTTGCTGTTGTTGTTTTGAGACAGGATCTCAGTAAGTTTCCAAGGCTGGGCTCAAACTCATGATCCTCCTGCTTCAGTTTCTCAAGTAGCTGGAATTACAGGCACATGCCACCATATCCAAAAATATTATATTTTCTTATAAAACCAAAACATTTTTCTTTTTTCTGGATTTCTCCTGAATGCTATGTATTTCACATTAAAAGTTAAAAAGTTACATTTTAAATTGAGATCTATATGACTTGGTACTTGCTCTGCCACTCTTTGTTCATTTACTAAATATTTCTTTATCATTTTCTCTAAGCCACACACTTGCTAGGTACAAGGAATGCTGTGGCAAGCCAAACTCTTATAGACCCTGACCCCATGAAGTCTTCTTTCTTGCTTATGCATCTGTCTTGAGATTTTTTTTTAATGTTTAACGTCTGCGAATCTCAGTTTTTCCTTTGCAGAGTGAAAATATTAATAAGCACCTCATAGTGTTCTAAGGAAACTTTAAGATTATGTAAATAAAGCTCCCCACATACAATAGGTGTCCAATAATTCACTTCCTATAACAATAGATTTCTGAAGAGCAAAAATACCTACATCTGTATTAATTGGGGGTACTTCCAGATGAACACTGAAATTTTGTGAGTTCCTGTAAGACTCATGATACACATTATACCCTACAAAAGGCTTCAGTGAAAAAAATCCGCTTAGAAGCTAACCAGTAGGAGGGAAACGGGTCACAACTAAGCTGATTACACTCCAGGCTTTCCACTCATGACAGATATATTTGCAGGAGTTCCCATTCAGTTTAGCTGTGCAATCTGGGTAGATCTCTGGAGTTCCTCTCAAAATGAAAATCCAAAACAAGGAGTGTGCTGTGGGTACAAAGTTTGTGGTGAACATGGAGATGCCTAGATCTCCTTTCAAGAGATGATCTTACTCCCAGTTGCAAAAAAAGTGCTTATGTGAGTTCAGATCTGTTCCAAGGCAGCCTACATCCAGTGACTGAGGGCAGTGAGGGATCAGAGCCTGGCCAGATTAGCCTGATGGGGGGAACACTTCCTATAGGCCATTCTCATTCTAGAGTCTTCTGCCAAGTTTTCCAAGACCTCATTAAGCTTGCTTCCTATGTGTGATTCAACCTACAGGTATGCATAATCATCAGTAAATTCCTTTCACTCTTCTTACTCCAAAATATAAAAGCTGAAAGAATCTTCTTCTTTATCTACAATTTTTCTGTCCACTCCATGCTTGTGTACAGCATTGTCATTATCAAATAAAAAAAATTGTCAAATAAATTCAGCTCCACTCAACTTACTGGAAGTAATTTGCTGCAAGACTGTGAAGAAAGAACACCAGTGGTATGTGCCATCTCTGAAATCACGTAGGCCACTTTCCTCTGCCCCTTCTCCTTTCCTGTTCTCCTCAGCCTCTTATTTTCTTATTTGGAATAGAGAATCTATATATTGGGAGTTAAGGCAGGGGTTAGAACAATTAAACTACCTTGGGTAATGCCATTCAGATTAAAATAACATGTGGCTAAGTGTAATCCCTAGACTCAAGAGACCCTGTCAACAAAGAGAAGGAAGTATAAGAATATTTCCACTACATCTCCCCTCCTGCAGGTTGATTTTAGAAACTTGGCTCTTAAGAGTTCTTGGTGGAGACAAGTGGAAGAGGACTTACTCTGCTTATGAAACTATTAGATATAATAACTCCTGGGAGGCATCTCACTGGCTTAATAGAATCTTGATAAGAGAGTATCCTATCTGTTCAATTGGAAGATGCTGCTCATTCCTCAGTATTAGCCAAACTCTGAAACAGCCCAGACAGAGAATTGAACAATTTATCAGAGAGCAGACATGCTATGTTCCCTTTTTTTTTTTTTCTAGCTTAAGCTGCTTCCTGCCCCCTCCATCTGCTTCCAGTATGTTTAGATGTTTCCTTTGACCACCCACACTCTGTGGTATGTCTGTGGTGAACAGAAGATCACATTTCCAAGGCCCCTTGAAATACATGGGCCATGTGACTCATATTCTGGCTAATGAAATGTTAGAGTAAATGATGTTTGAGAAGTCCCATGATCCCCTTGTGTCGTGTCACTTTTTCCATGGACATTCCAGTTGGTGGCGCCTCCCTCCACCTGGATCCTTGTATGAGTGAGTGAAGCAGAGCCCTCCCTCCATCCACATTTCTCACATTTCCCTCTCACTCCAGTAGACTCTGTAAGAGCAAAAATGAATTATGATGTGTAAAGACACTGAAATGGAGGAATTATTACCACAGTATATACCTAACCTATTCTGCCTACAACCTGCTTACAACTAAATAAAATGTGCTTGAGTACTTTTAAATCAATGTTTGTCTTTACTAGATTATACCATGGTTAAAAATCAAAATTTCTAGCTCTAATTATTTGAAAGGACTGCTCACTAAATCCCTTAATTGATAGCCTAGTTTTTTGTTGTTATTGTTTGGTTTTTTGTTTTTGTACTAGAGATTGAACTCAGAGGCTCCTAACCACTGAACCACAAATCCCAGCCCTTTATTTATTTATTTATTTATTTATTTATTTATTTATTTATTTATTTGAGACAAGGTCTCACTAAGTTGTTTAGAGACTTGCTAAGTTGCTGAGGTTGGCTTTGAACTTGCTATCTTCCTGCTCCAGCCTACCAAGTCTCTGAGATTACAGGTGTGAGCCACCCCACCTAGTTTTGATAGCACATAACTAATTTCCAAAACACAATTTCTGGATTTTTGTGTCCTACAACTTAGGCAACTGCAGGTAAGTGACACTTGACACACCCTCTGCCTAATCAAGAGGAATATAGCCATGTTATAGTCAGGAAAAGACATGACGGAGATACCATGATTCCAACCAATCTCTGAACTCATCTTCCAGGGGCAGCATGTTGCCGGACCACTATAGTTCAGACTGGTCTTCAACATTAGCAGACAAGAAATTTTTTTCCAAGACACTCAGAGGTCATTCAGTTTTCAGGGATTGACTCATAGTAACCAGACTCATATACTAAAAGATTAATATATAAACCAGACACCATTTATTTTTTTACCATGGGAATTTGTTGTTTTCCTTTTTGAGTGACTTAAACATTCATGAGCACAATTAAGAATGATTCTTTCCTACAAGAGCAAATGAGAAAAGACAGAACATATAAATGAAGGCTGACAGCTGAGCACTGGGAGGCTAACCATCTTGGAGACCATGACCATGCAGACCATGAAGACTGGCATTAATTAATCACTGGAAAATCCAAACCTTCCCTCTCTTAATTAGGTATATGAACAAATCTTGCTTTCAGTTTCTTATTTTTTTTCTTCCAATAAAAATGGGTAGATATTAGTTGTCTTTAGGCCAATAATTGTTCAATATTGATTGATTTAGACACTTAAAGGCAATATCTTAATCATTTCACCTGGTGCTTCCTCATCTGTTGCACTTTTATTTGAATTTGTGGGGTGTCTGTCATGTTCATGTATCAAGCAGTCAGAATGAGTCTTGAGTCTCCAAAGACACAGCAGAACTACAATAAAAATCTAGATGAGGGGTTGGCAAACAACGTCCTGTGGAGCAAATCAAGTTTGACACTTGTTTTTATAAATAAACTTTTATTGGAACACACCAATGCCCACTAACCAACTTATTGTCTGTAACTGCTTTTGCATTCCATCAGCAGGGCTGAGTAACACAGCCTATAATATTTACTATCTGGTTCACTTCACAGAAAAGCCTTGCCGACCTCAATGTGGACATTGCCCAATCAAATAATTTCTCATACCAATGCCTATAGCTCACAAGTTATAATAAAACACACTGCAAATGATGGCAGAAAAATACCCAAGTATGGAAACTCCATGCTTATATGCCTAGTTGTTCTCATGGTTCAGATCCCAGGTTTCAGTGGTTCCAGAAAGATTCCTTTTTCATAGTGAAACTGCTGTGCACTACATTACAGAGATCAGTACTGAATAAAGACCCTCAGCTTGGTCAAGAGGTTGTCAAAGACCTGGAGTCCAAAAAAAGAATCTATCACTCCCTTATATAAGTCCCTTATCTCTTTAATTCTCGGGTTTTTCATCTGTAAAATCAAAGAATTCAACTACCATTGTTGGTTGTTGTGAGCATCTAATGCAAGAAAACTGAGGGAAATGTGTGATAATGCAAATATGAGAGGAAAATGACTTTAGGAATGAATCATTGTATTACTCTGATTTTTATCTAGTGAGTGTTCACATTATGTGGGGTCTCTTGCATGATACTAACAAAATAATTTCCTTGGACCATTTACTGTTCACAAATTTCCACAATTGTTACCCCAAAGACTTGATAACAGGCACCATGGATGCTCCCCTCACTAGAGCCCAACTCTGTAGACAGGGAACACATTAAGCCTTCCCTTGGACATACTCACATTTTCCTATACACAGAGTCAGTATCTGAGTGGTTTCCCACCTTCAGGCAAAAACCAAACAAAATCTCTAGAATAGCTTGCCGAAGGATCAGGAAGGAAGGAAAGCTCCCAGACACTTTGAGAAGCCCCAGTAAGATTTAGTAAGAATCACAAGTGTTGTGACATGAGGGCAAGTGCTGAGTGCCAGACAGTATTGGGTGTGAAATGCCCTCTGACACAGAGGGTCTCTTTGATCTCTCCATCCTGACATGCTGAGAGCAAATAAGCAGTGGTCTCTTAGGCATCATCCAAACTTCTACAATCTCTTGAAAATCAATGATTGTCTCTAGGCAAAAATGACACCCAGGGAATAAATGTTAGAATTCACTGAATTTTTGCCTAGAGCACAGTATGGATGAGTAATGTGTATATGAGTATGTACATTAGCCAAAAGGTGACTGTATGTGTGAGTACCTATGAGTTAGCATAAATGTAACCAAAATATGGAATAGAAGATTGATAGGGATTGTTGCCAATGGAGATAAAATGCTGTGTCCAATTCCAGAGCTTCCACAGCCTGGTCATGTAATCGTGGGCAATATAGAAAATTAAATCGCTGTTCAGCAAATATTTCCTGCTCCACTATCACCTCTGTGGGAGAAGTGTCCTTACTTACCCTGTTAAAGTTGCGTTTGGCCATGAGACTTCTTTGGCAGATAGAATATGGGCATAAGCGGCAGTGTGCCAATCCTGAACTAAGAATTTAAGAGGTATCACATGACTTTGCTCATTCCTCTGATGTCATCTGACTTTACCATGGGAATAGCCTGTCCCAGGTAGCCACTATTACTCTCCAGTCCAGGCCCCAAATCAGGGATACAGAGCAGAATGCCCATCAATATATAGACCATGAATGTGAAAATAAGTGTTTTTTACCATACACCACTGAGTTTTGGTCTTATTTGTTATATACCCCAAACTGGTGGATACAGACAAAATACTTAACTTCCCTATTTCTTCTCCAGGAAAATGGAGAGGAGGGTGGTGCCTGGTATAAATGGTTGTTAGAACATTTAAGCAAGTTAATTCATACAGAGTATTTAGAACATTTCCTGGCACACAGTAAATGCTTAATAAGTATTAACTGCCATGGCTGTTGTTGACATAATATATGAGTAAGCAGGTACCCAAGCCGTAAGAGTGACTGGGCATGCAGTCAGGCTTCAGAGTGAGTGTGTAAGAGTTGAAGGGGGAAAACAGATAGGCAGGTGTGAGAGGGGGCGCTGCCCTCAGCAGAAGTACTCGTTCATCCTTCTGCCTCCGCTGGTCCCCAAAGCCTGAGAGTCTAGGCTGGACCGGCCGGAAAGGAGCCGGTCGGCCTCACTAAGGCTGTGCCGAGACAGCTCTTCGGAGCCGTCGTCGCTGTGGCCCAGCCTCTCCAGGTTGACGTAGGCCCCCGTGGCCTCGGTGGTGCCCCGGGTGCGGCACTTGCGGCAGCGCCTACGAAGAGCACCACAGCAGACGAGCAGCGTGGGTGGCAGGGCGATGATGGCAGCCACGCTGATCACCACCACGTTGATGAGCCGCTGGGTGCCCTCGGCGTCCACCATCTGGTCGGTGGAGAAGATGAGGCATTGCTCCTTTCGGGGCACCAGGCCCCGCACACAGACACATGCCACGTACTTGGTCTTGGGGGCCAGTCCGTCAATGGTGACACTGGTCTTCCCCGGCGGCACGATCAATCTACGCATATCATGCTGCCCAAAGACGGTGTAAAGGACACTGAAGGCAGTTGTGTTCCCAGCCTGGGGGGCCTTCCATACCAAGGACACTCTGTGGTAACTGTCCCCCACCACTTTGAGTGACTTCACCATCCGTGCCTCCTGGGGTTCAACCTGCCCTTCCCAGAGCTCTCCTGGGGCACCCATCTGGAAGTGCTGGAGGGCCAACTTCTCCTTCAGGCTGGGCATAGAGGTCCCAATGGCCAGGACAGCAGGTTTAGGAATATGCGAGACATGCCGGGCCACCAGCTTGTTGTTGTAAGCAGCAGCTTCCGCCCCTTCCCCTGTCCTTGCCCATAATGCCCCTGGGATCCCAGTGTGTTCTGTGGATGTCTGGGGCTCTGTGACAATAAGGGAGATAAGAGTCTCAGAGGCTCCTAGGAAGTTCTTTGCCTGGCAGATGTAGTCTCCAGAGTCCAGTTTAGACACTGCAGGCAAGTCCAACAGAGTCCAGCTTACACCATCACTGGAGACTTCCTGGTGCACTGGGGGAAGAAGAAGCACATTTGAGAAAATGAATGGGCCCATCTGCCCCTAACTTACTCCCAGAGCCAAGTTCACAGCCCCTGGGCTACACATGCTGTACTAAATATCCTATCATCCTGAGAAATTGCTGGCAGGCATTCAACTTTCAAGTTATTCAAAGGCCAGCTCACTGGGTCACTCAAGGCTCAGTTCCTTGCCTTGTAGCCATATAACCTTGGCTGAGATCAACCAAGATCAGGATTACCTAGGCTCAAATCTGGGTGAGGCCCTAGAACTCCGGGTGGAAGCAGAGCCTAAGAATAAACTGCCTTCTAAATCTGAGATGTTCAAATCTGAGATGCTCTGTGAAGTTTTTGCAGAGGTGATGCAAGTATGTAGGCAAGTACGTTGCAGGGTGGCAGTCAGGGAGTAATCATGAGGCAGAGAGCCAACTGGAAGTGCCCTGCCACCCTGTTCACCCCCATGGTTGCTTCGGTTGGATCATCTTCACCTTTCTGTTTTACATTGTGGAACCTGTTGTACCATTTTGTTTGTAAGTTTAATTCAAACCCACTCTTCTAGAGCAATGCTTACCAATCTAGTTGAGGGAGACATAGAAGAAAGCTGGGGGAGGGTTGCAAGATTTTCTGATTAGCTGCTAAGGAGTCATTTCTCCTTAATCCCCTCTCTGTTCTGTGGATGGCTGTGACTCCCACCATTGACCCCCGTCCTTGCTACCACCATGACAAAGATGAGTCATTTCTGCTTATACAGCCAAGCCAAAATAGTATATACTGTGAAGTCACCTTGACTATATTAGAATCCCAGCTCCTTCTTATAGGTCTGTGTGATGCAGGCCAAGCATTTAGCTTCTCAGAGCCTGCATGCACTTGTATGAAAAATAAGGATATCAGTTGCTCTTTAAAATTCAACAACATTATGGGCATAATTCACTTAGCACAGTGATAACCTCAATGAGGAGATCAATAGATAGCAATCCATATCATTATTCTTGGCTTAATATTTCAACTGGAAAACTTACTGTAAGTATTTAATACACTAAGTTCTACCAAAAATCCAGCCTTTTATTCCTCCCAATAAAATCCTTCAGTCTCTATAACAGTAGCTGGTAGGATATATAACAGGACATTTCAAGAGCTGTTGTCATCATTAAATCCGTTGTCCCCATACTGCTTCTGGGAAGATCTTATTGGAGATATGGGGGCCCAACCTAGCTTAGATTGGAAAGACTCCATTGGAGATATGGGGGCCCAACCTAGCTTAGATTACTTTCCCCTGACCCTGCCCACTCCCTGTTTGGGATGTTGATCCCCTCACCCCAGTTCAGGTGCTCAGCACAAGAATCCCCACAGCTCACATACCTGTGCCATTGAGTGGGTGCCCGTTGGCTCGCCTCCAGCTCATCTCAGGTCCAGGGACCCCAGTGGCTCCACAACGCAGCAATACTGCACTTCCCAAAGGGGACTTGATGCTGGTCACCCCTGGACGGAGCTCTGGGCCCTGGCACTTCCTCAACTCCAGCTGGCTAAAGGCCACTCCAGCCAGATTACGTGGGGTGTCACACCTCAGTTTGGCCTCGATGAAGACCAAGTTTGGGATCCAACCATCTAGGAGATGGACCAGGTCATAGAGTTGGCAGTCACAAACCCAAGGGTTGTCCTGCAGCCCTGTAGCAGTGAGAGAGAGGCAAGAGGTGAGCCCTAGATACTCAGGTGCCCAGGCCCAGCTCCCTTTCCCTTTAGAGAGGATGAAGCAGGTCCTCAGGTCAGAGTCAACAGAACTGACTTCCAGCTCTTAGCCTTGCTAGCTGTATACCCTTACACCTGGTTTTTCATCTTAAATGATAGCATTATTTCCCTTCAAGGTTGGTATAAACATAAATAAAGATTATATCATTAAGCACTAGATAGGCCATACAGCACACTAACAAAATTGCCAACTATTGCTGTCAGACTAATCTTTTCAAGTCACTGGCAAGGAAGAAATTTTCCAATAATTACAGTATCCCAAAATCATTCCTAAAACTACTCACTGACTCCTGACCTTTGACCCTAGTCTTTCCAGTGTAAGTGGCACTTACAGCATCATCCCAGCAATAAGAATGGCTGCTCTGAACAATGGGTCTCTTTGAGGTAGGCTCAGAAGGAGTAAAACGTGGGGTAAGAAGGCTGAAAATCAAACCCTATGAGACGTCCCCATTCCTCTTTACTCCTTGTTGAACATTTTTAAAGAACTGAAAGCAAGTCTTTGCACCCACTTGGTCAAAAAGGGGTACCATGTGTCTTCAATTCTAAGGCACAATTCCTTTTTATATGCCTGCATTTCTGAAATACAAGATGAAGGCATTTAATATAATATAGTTTTCACTCCCCCAAAGATTGATATTAGATTTGATAGTGAGTTTAATAATCCTAATATATCATACAATTGCATCCATACAGTTTATATATTTGGAAAGGAAAATGTCAAAGGGTTGGGGAAGGTATATTCAGACCTGATTGCATGTCCATGACTTTCAGGTCCCTATGAGCACTAGCTGAAGATGTCATTTTCTTCTCCCCCTCTCTCCCTCCCCCTCCCACAGTGGCTGCTGCCTTGTATCACTGCTTAAATGTGTTTTGTGATACACTAGTAACTCAAGGTTCATCACTGTCTTGGCTCTCATAGTGAGTTAATCTGGTTTTCGCCTGTTACAAAAGGATCCCAAGGAATTAATATAAAGGACAAAGTTAAACAACAGTGAAACGTTCACCTATCAGATTGGCAAAAGTTTAATATTTTGGCCATTTTAATTGTTAATTCCATGAAGGATTACATTTTCTGTCACTGTGATTCACTGCTATATCCCCACATCTAGAATTGGAAAGAACTCAAATATATTTACTAAATGACCTTGTGAATGGGTGGTCTCAAGCACTACTGGTGAGGAGTGAGAACAGTACTGGCCACTTCACAAGTTATCAGATTGACTCCAAAATGTTTAATGGGCACTGCATGACCTAGGAATTCTAATTCTGAGCACCTATCCTCAGAAACAGCTGTACACACATATAAGAATGCACTGCCCAGAACATTCTCAGTGGCATTGTAGGTGTTAACAAAATATAGAAACAATCTAAAGGTCCACTGAATGGGAAATGGCTACATAAATTATAGCAAAATTATATTACAATCCGGCACGGTGGCATATGCCTATAATCCCAGCAGTTCAAAGCCAACTTCAGCAACAGCGAGGCACTAAGCAACTCAGTGAGACCCTGTCTCTAAATAAAATACAAGACAGGGCTGGGGATGTGGCTCAGTGGTTGAGTGCCCCTGAGTTCAATCCCAGGTACCTCTCCCCCCCAAAACCCCTATATTATAGAATATAGTGCAGTAGCTTTCAAAAATGAATTTATTCCATTTGTAATAATACCAAAAGATCTCCAAAAAAGATTGTTGGATGAAAAAAAAATAGTATTCATTAGTATATATAATAAAAACTGTTATATAGCACTCACATAACTTTTATTTTGGCATGTTTGTGTATATATATATATATATATATATATATATATATATATATTTGTATGCATATGCAAATGTATTGTAAAAAGGAACTTGCAAATAAACATGATAATAGCAGCTATCTGGAAAAGGCAAACGAGATCAGAACAGGAAGCAGGGACTAATGGGTCTCTATCCTTTTCTGTTATGTTTTCAATATTTACATATATTCACATATGAGTTAGATAATCCAAATCGATTTTCCAGTTATGCCATACCTCTTCTCCTGGGGGATCAGGCAGAACATACTGAGGAACTAGCCAGTATATTGTGTCAACCCATTCAACCTAGCCCCTTGCGCAGGGAAACTAAGTCTCAGGAGGCCACAAGCTGGGTATATGAACTGGGAGATTCCATACATCTAGGTTTCCTTATTTATAACAATGGAATTTGAACTGCTGTAGTCTAGCCTGAGACTTGAGCTCCTAAGCCTGGGACTCTTGTATATCTTAATCCATTTTCACTTGAACGTAGAAGGTAGATACGATTTATATTTTCAGACAGAGAATCCAGATTCACAGAAGTCTGGTATAAGACCCCCAGGCTCAGCAGGGTGGTGCCATCTCTTACCTAGGACAAGCCTGGCGTGGTGACCAGGAAGGAAGGGCCCAGACTTCAGTTGAGCCCAGGTGAGCAGCAGCTCCTGCGGGAGCCTCATCAGCTGATTGCTAGAGAGGTCCAAGAAGGTCAGATTTCCCAGGAAGCGCGCGGCCTCCGGCGGCAAGACCGAGAGGCGGTTGGCCTGCAAGTCCAGCAGCCGCAGCTGGGGGGCGTCCCTGAGCGCGGCCCAGGGGAAGGCGGCCAAGCGGTTCCCTGGCAGCCTCAGTTCGCGCAGGCGTCTCAGTCCCCGCAGCATGAGGACACTGAGCTCCGCGAGGGCGTTGTAGGGCAACCACAGCTGCTCCAGGCGGCCCAATGCCCTGAAGGCCTCTCCAGGAACTCTGCGTATGGCGGTCCTCTCCACGCGCAGTCTGCAGGTGTCCAGAGGAATAGACGCTGGGGGTAGGGTCATGTCGGGATCACTGCACACCACGGCCCTGGTCACAAAAGTGGGGGATATTTGAGCAAGGGTCCTGTCAATTCAGGGATAACCCCCTTCCCTTAGCCTCCGGATCTGCTTGTTAACACAGGGCACCAATTTCAGGGTCCAAACTAGGTCAGGCTCTGGAGAGGGGACCCTAGAACAAGCAGCCTCACATTTTCCCTTTGAGGTGCTCTTGTTTGGAGAGCAGAGCCTTTCATAAGGGTCCCAGGAGAGCCATTTGGTCTTCACTGGCCTGAAAGACTTCACACTTAACTATGTTCTGTTACAGCCCACAGCACCCACCTTGCACTAAGAAAGAACAGCATTAATAAATCCTGTGATCATTGTGTGTGTGTGTGTATACATATATATATATATATATATATATATATATATGTGTGTGTGTGTGTGTGTATATATATATATATAATTTTTTTTTTTAAATATGCCAACGGCATCAAAAACTGGAAGTGCTTCAGGGGCCATGAGATGATCAAAATTTAGTCTGAGATCTGGGATGTGGCAGCCCCACCATTAGATTCACATTTGGGCTCTCTGCTTGCTGGCTGTGTATCCTTAAGTATATCAAATAACCCCTTTCCCCCTCAGTTTCCCCGTAGTAAAGTCTACCTCATAGTGCAGTTACAGTGTTTAAGTGAGATAACATACAAATTCAGCATGCAGCCTATCACCCTGTACTCATGATATTGATTACTGTATCTGTGTCTCAGCACTGAAGGTAGAGCAGGGCAGTCTTACAACTTTCAATACTCCTGTGCCAACAGTGACTTCCTAGGCCTTCTTAGTTTGAATCTAAAGCTGAAGATAAAGAGAGAACAGGAAGCAATCCCTGACCACAAGTAACCTACAATTCAGGGATTGTGTTTTATACCATCAATGAGAGTAGCACACTCACATGAGGTAAGATGAAAAGGGAGCGATTCCCAAAAAGACAGTAAAATGTGGAGGCTGGGCATCAGGGACCCAGTCCTTGTATGGTGTCAGTTTCATCCCAAGCGCTGCTCTGCTAGCACTATGAGAAAGGTGTCATGTTTTGCTTTGCTAAGAGAAGTTATTCTCTTTTAATGATTGCCATCATGCATTGCCCAAATCAGGCCTTCCTAAGTGTCTACCATCTTAACATACACATGATACTAAAAAATGGCCCAACTTGGCTTGTTTTCTCTTGTAAATGGCATCACAGAAGGTATTTCCACCCACTCATATTCCTCAAAGAAAGATTGGAACCCCTACTAAGTGATGGGCCATTCAGAAGAGAATCAAAGTCCCTGTCCTCTGCAGCTTATAGTCTATTTAAGGGAAAGAGAGCATTGAAGGCCATAATATTTTCAGGTAATAATACAGGTTGAGGTGATAGCAAGGAGGAAGGTCTGAATGTAAGTGGGAGGAAAGGGATGGAAAGGAAAACATATCCTGAATGGGGGAGAAAATGGTGAAAGGAGGCCTTAAAGGACCCCAATAAGAGCCCAACACAAGCTAACAGCACAACTTTTGATGGGACAACCTGGGCACAAAAAGCATGAGACACATCTGTCCAGGTACCCAGATGGGGCATCCTAGAAACCCCCATATCTGCAGGGACATACATTTTGCTCACAATTCAAGAGTGTGGGTCAGGGCAGGTTGCTAGGGGAGGGCTCTCTGAGAGACCCTGGTAGAGGTGGGTCTGAAGAAGGCACCTATGGGGCTGAAGGAGCCTTGATCTAAGTGCACAATCTGTGCCTCTGGGCATTGAGGATCTGGGGAGAGGGGGCTCTGCAGCCCTTTATGGCCTCATTCCTCTCATAAGACATTCCATATAAATGCATGAGCACACATCAATCCTACTACTGTCAGGCAGGTAGAACCAACTGTAAGAGCTCTGGCTTCAGGAGAGCATGACCACTGGTTGACATTAGGACCCCTAGAAATTGCTCTTGTAATTTTAGTTTCCATCCAAAGTCTAACTCTGTTGTCTGTAGTTCTCATCTTGTTCATACCCATGGCAGCATCCCAGACAAGAAGAGTTCTGGAAATAGAATCAGAAGTCCTAGGTTCTGGGACCAATCCCATCACTGAAGCTCTGGGACTTTGAGGCCTGTGCTCCCTGTGAGTGGTAAAGGAGGCTTCTTATCACTCTGATCACACTGTCCTTGGCCATGGGCTATTTCCCAGCCTGCTCAGGTCTAAGTCTTCTTTAGTGAAAGGAAGCTTACCTTCCATGTGAGTTACAGCATCAGACACTTATGCAGAAAGTGGAAATTTTCCTATTCCTCAGATCTTACAGGATGTCCTTTTTTTTTGGGGGGGGGGCCTCTCCATTCTCTGCCACCCCTCAACCCCAGGCAACATGATGCCCATTGCCTGAAAGGATAACTGTAGTAACATTGTTCTCTGATCACCACCGTGGCTCCCTAGTGCCCATCTAAGACAAGGGGGAAAAGGAGGATGGAATTCCATAAGGTTGGAAAGTTGATCACAAAGGCCATAAGCCAGAAGATGAAATCCTTAAGTTAGAAAATGCACAGGTCATTAATGGATAATCCGAGGAAATTGGTATAAAGAAAAGATGGTATAAAGACTGCTGGAGAGAAGACAAAAATGAGCTCAGGGCTGGGGCTCAGCGGTAGAGCACTTGCCTCAAAGGTGTGAGACCCTGGGTTTGATCCTCAGCATCACATAAAAACAAATACGTAAATAAATAAAGATATTGTGCCCATCTACAACTAAAAATTTTTTTAAAAAAAAGAGCTCTAGAGGAAAAGCAAGGGTCCACAACCCAGAGTAGACTTGGGAAGGTGCCATGGAAAGGAGACGGAGAGAATGTGGGTGTTCTAAGGGACCAGATGGAGGATGGGGGAAAATCAAGGAGGAGGCTGAGGATGGAGGGAGCAAGCTTGCAATGGAATGGACACTTATAATACTTCTGAGTCTCCATAGAAAGGGGTCAAGCCTGATCTCTTAGGGGCTGCCAGAGGAGACCCAAAGTGGGAAGAGCATGAGGAGGCAGGTGGTCCCTTCATGGGTGGAGTGACAAGAAGCACTTGGATGTGACTGGTTATTCTAGGGAGATTAGGCATATAAATAGAAGAGGCTTGGAAAGATGGGGCTTGGAGACACAGGCAGAAAGGTGGGATGGGAGGTAGCAGGAGAGGAAAAGAAAGAGGTAAGGAGGAAACTTCCTGGGCCTTTAAAGAGCTCCTTTAGGCTCCACCAGGAGCCTAAAGGAAGGCTCAGGAGGGAGTTTCTGAAACCAGCACACTTGGCCCCACGGCACCCCCCACTTGTAAGCATACTGAGTACCTGCTGGACAGAGCAAACCCCCTACTTACTGGAAGAAAATACATTGCAGACAACCCCCATAGGACTCCTGGGTTTCAGGGGCCAGGGATATGGGGGTCTCACCCAGTCATGATTTGAAAACCCCGCATCCTGCATACCCATGATTATCCAGGGGCCTCAGGTGGAGATGTGTGGGACTGTCAAGCAAGGGGACAGCTGCTGGTATCCAACCCCTCCCCACCCAGTCTAACTGGTAAAGTTATGAGGGCGAGCCACCATCCCATACCCCTGGTGCCGTACCTGGCCTTGCTGCCATCACCCAGGATGTGGAGGCCGCAGGTGCACTGAGAGGGACAAGAGCCCCGGGCCTGGTGGGACCCCCCAAGGGCCAGGATCCAGAGCATGCCCACTGCCACCCACATGACTCCTGGCTCCTCTCTGAGGAGCCGGCCAGGGGCCAGCCAGCCCAGCAGCTTCCCACTTGCTCATCCTCTCCTCCCAACCCCAGGCCATCGGATAAACACAGACAGTCTGGGGATTAGGGAGGGGGCCCCAGCCAGAGCGCTCAGCAGCTTACTGCTTCCTGAATCATTCAGACCTGAGGGTGGGGGAGGAGAATCCTTTCTATAGCACTGGCCCTAGGCCCAGACAGGTGGGGGCACAGCAAGGCAAGGCAGGTGAACATCTGCCAGAAGCAAGCAACTACGAGGGTGGTCATCTGTAAAGTTCCCTATGCAACCAGGCTGTGGGTAACACAGACCTCCCCGAGGTACATGAGCTCAGGGAAGATGGACAGAGAACTCTGGCCTCCCTGGAGGTGATGAGGCATTAGAAAGAGCTGGAACTCAGGGACAATGGCTCTCCAGGTTCAAATCCTAGCTCTTCCATTTAAAGGCCATGACTTTGGGTGAGATACATCATCTCTCTTGGCTTCTGTGTTCACATCTGACAAAAGTAAGTCAAGTTAATCCACCCAAATTCAACAATCCAAGTTTCCCAGGTAACAAAAATTCCTGGGTTACAAAAGTTCTCTCACAAGTAGTAAATATTAAGTTTTTCTGGCACCTGTTCAAGAAGGAGCTGGAAAGACCGATATTTTAGGAAGACCTCAGATGTCTTCCATGGCATCAGGAACTATGGCAGACTGTTGGGCAAGCTGCTTCCCATGAGAGCCCAATGGATGCTCAGAACATTGTCATCTTAGCTGGGCTCTTCTGGACATTACCACCAATGCCAAAGGCAAGAGATAAGAGGAAAGATCTCTCCCCTCTTCTCAAAGCACCATACTCTCAGGAGGGGCCCAGAACAGCATCTCACAGAGTTTTTGGAGAATGCACATTCTATTTTATCTGTTTTCCCTTCCCCTAACTTCATCTTAACAAATCTATTTAAGATGCCAATGGGGACCAAGCCATGGGTGATTCCAAGTAGTAGACACATTGGTGACCCATTCGTTCATTCCTCATGTTTGACTCCAAACATGAGGGTTTTTTGGGGTTTTTTTGCTCTTTGGTCAGCCTGCCCTACCTGGGTCCTCCCCAGACCAAAAGACCAGCCCCGCCTATTGTTTCTTCTCTGTCCTTCCCTCTTTGTGTCTGAATGCCTTCCTTCCGTCTCTTATCTGGCAGAACTCTATCCATTATCCCCAGCCTCATGCTTCTTTATTTTCTCTCATGAAGTTACTTGAGATCTTGCAGATACAGAAAGAAGAGGGACATAAGGGTTAACTAGCAAGAAGTCTAGACAGAGCAGGGAAGACTCCAGAGGATGTGACCTTGAGCTCAGCCTTGAGGGGTGATAAGGCTCAGACATCAGTGGGGACTCATGAAAGGAAAAGTCTAGGAAATGGACATTCTCAGATCAAGATGAGTTGTGTGGCCAGAGGAAATCAGATGATATCAATGAAAAGTCCCTGAGCTACATGAGCAGGAGATCGGGCTTTTGTTCCAGTTTCATCCTCAAATCACAGCATGACCTCTGGCTGATTATTAACTGCTATTGGCTTCAGTTCCCTCATCTGAAATGGAAAAGATAATAGTATCTAATTCATGGAGAGTTTTTTTTTTTTTTAAGAAATCATCACAAGAATTTTTACTATGGTGGCTGACCTCAATCAACATTAGTTGTATTACTATTATCTGAAAATGAGTTAGGTTGCACTAGATCAATATTTTCTGATGTAAATGTCACCATGAGCTATTACATAACTTGTACTAAGAACCTCATTTGTTAGAAGCCCAATCTCTCAGTGAGTCATGGGGGCACTTACAAGAAGACAGCAGTCCATCATTCCAAACCAGAGACCTGCTAGATTTTTTTGTGCTTTTGTAGCTCAAAGACTGTATGACAAGAAATGCAACCCTGAAATCTACATCTATGATGTGCTCTTTTACTAAGGAATTAGGACAGGCCATGGACAAAAGATGCTTACGTTGCAAAGGAGGAAACTGAGAAGACACTATTGGTCCCACCTTCAGGGAATGCAACTAGTGGAAGATTCAGAGCCAGAACCCAGGCTCTAGTCCCAAAAGAGGTTCTTTCTATGATAGCAGGTGACTTTCAAACCTCAACCTTTCTACAGGCACGTGATCCTGTGGACATACACGCATGCATGCACACATACAAACACACAGGCACTCAGATTGTCAGCAATGATGAACACAGAAAAGCCTGGCTCCTATCCGATTCTCAGGAACAGCTGCGGCTCCAATCCCTCCTTCCACTCCTCTCCCTTGATTATGCAACTCCTTTCCAATTCAGCTCTCAGCCACACACCATTTGGATTCCCAGACCTTAATCCTGCCCAGTGAGGCTGAAATGAATGAGACAGGGCCCCATTCTGGCTTCACAAAGGCTGCACTGTCCAGCTGGTGAATGGTTTTCTTTTGCCTGGGCCAAGAGGACGAATTAGACGAATTAGACGGGGGAGGCAGAAAGAAGGAGTTCAAGGTCTAGCATAATAACCTGCATGTGCCAGCACGGGGAACGGTCCTTTAAAAGGGAGGGGCATGGCTTTGGGGAGCCAGAAAAAGAGCAAGGATGGCAGAGACTGCAGCCCTGCCCGCAGGCTTCGGGGAACTGGAGGTGCTGGCTGTGGGGACGGTGCTGCTGGTGGAAGGTGAGCCAGGCAGGTCCTGGGGTGGAGCAGGGGCCCAGCAGGTTCTCAAAACCCAGTCACAGCTATGGTGCTGGCACGAAGAGTTCCCCTAACCTGAGTTATCATGTCATCCTGATTGCTTATTCCTATGTGCCTAGACCTACAAGGTCTCCTCGTGGCTTCCCTGTAGGATGCAGAGCACCAGCGAGGAGCCAAGAGAAAAAAGCCAGGTAGGGATCAGGAAGGGACAGACTTTGGAGCAGTGTCAGGGGTATATATCTACCCAGAGATGACCAAGAACCAACCTTCAGACTTTATGTCCCTCCAGGCAGGAGAAAATTTAATCCAGTCCCTGGAAATCCTGCTAAGAATCCCATGAAAGATTAGCCTCCAAGAAGACTCTGGAGACAGATAGCTCTGCCACCTGCTGTCTATGTGACTAGTACCAAGTCACTTCAGCTCTCTGACTCTCAGTGCCTTGACATTCCAAATGGGTGGTTGTGAAGGTTAAAAGGGGTCAAAGTATGAAATGTTTGTCTAGACAGAAACCCAGGGAAGGCACCAGGGAGTTCATTAACTTCTGTCCCCTCCTGCCCACCATTCCTTCTACCAAGTCTCCTCCCACAGCCCTAGGTATGTCCCACATAGGGACCACCTGGTTCCTTCAGAAGCCCACCTTCACTCAGAATCCTTAAAATACTCGTGGGGCCAGAGCCAGAGATTGGGTTCACCCTAGAACTAGGCTGACAGGGTATACAGTCCATGTTCAAAGCACATCCAGAGAGGTAAGCAGCACATTTTCTCACCCAGTGAGAAACGACAGTGGAGAGGAAGTGACATAAAACTGGTCCTAGAGACTCTGAACACCATTGTCTGGTGGCCCCATTTCATTTCCCTTTTTTCTAGGAATGCTACATTCTAGCCTTCCTCTATGACCTCAAACATGCTGGCAAATTTTACCCTTTATGTCTTGGCATGTGCTGCTCCCTCATTCTGGAATGTTCTTTTAGGCACCATCCTTTGGGTAAATGCTCCCACAGTTTTCAAGTCAGGATCTTTCTCTGTTCCTCGATGTTGACAGGGGAAGAAGGTGAGGTTTAGAAATTTCAAGGGACAGCAAGTAAGTAACCTAGCTGCCATTCAAGGCCAGGTCTCTCTGCTCTCAGAAAACACCTCAAGTTCACCTCACTGACTGATGTCCTGGGTGCAGCTCCCGGCACTAACGTCGGCTCCTCCTCTCCAAGATTCTCCCTGATGTTGCTCCACCGACCTTGGGGGAGGCATTTTGGAATCTGAAAGACTCCAGCTGGAGTCCTAGCTAACTGTGTACTTAGGGCATGACAGCTAGCATCTCTGAGGCTATTTCTTAACCGTAAATGGATAGGAGAATATGTAAGAGAAGTCTGAATGACATGCTTATCAGGGTGCCTGGCACCTCCTAGGTGCTCAGTGCTTGTCGGAGGTTGTGAATGTTCTAGCAGGAACCATGCTGTACTGGACCATCTTCTTTATCTGTCTTCCCATGGGGCTGTGTTGGTAGAGGAGAGGGCGTGAGACTTAATGGCTTTCAGTGTTTGAGGGTCAGTCTGCCTCAGGAGCATTTGATGAACTGCACCAAGAGAACTGCTGAGCATGAAGGGAGAAAGTTGCTGAAGGTCCATCCACCTCTGGACCCTGGTTCTGACCCAAGGTGGGCCTCTCTAGCCCAGATGCCAGCCCCTGCCCTTCCTTTCAGCTCTCTCTGGTCTCAGCCTCAATGGCCTGACCATCTTCTCTTTCTGCAAGACCCCGGAGCTGCGGACTCCCAACCACCTGCTGCTGCTGAGTTTGGCCGTGGCGGACAGTGGAATCAGCCTGAATGCCCTCATTGCAGCCATATCCAGCCTCCTCCGGTACCAGGCCCCTCTGCACTCCACTGGTTCTGGGACCCTGCTTGGGGCCTGACTTAGGGGTACTGGGTAGCCAGACCAGAACCTTTTTTTTCTTACCTATAGAAAACTAACCCAAGGGCAGAGGGTGGGCAGGGTAAACTCAGCTAAATCCAAATTCCAGATTATCCCTGCAGAGCCACAGCTAATTTCTGGAACACAGGGGTTATTCAAACTCAACCAAAGGGATAACAGACTCTCAGGATTAAGAGCATGAGCCCTGTAACCGGGTAGCCCAGGTTTGAATCCTGGTTCTATCACTTCCTTTTCTGGGCTATTTCTGTAAATTGTATATTATTCCCTAATTCATATGGGTGGTTAGAAATATTGACTTTAATTATTTTCAAACAACTTAAAACAATGCTTGCCACCTAGGAAGCCCTAAATAATTGTTTGTGAAAGCAAACGGAATTTTGACTTGTGTCCAATATACATCCACATGTGCAAACCTGGGTCCTGCATAATTTCAGAAGATGTGTTTGTAAGATTGTTTTCTTAAGCAAAGGGAACATTCTGTCAGGTTTGGGGCACTATGAAAGGAACCCACCTGGGTATGAATGCGCAGGGCTGACCAGTTTGTGGGGTCTGAATTGGTAAGGATCTTTCCTCCCACAAAGCACTGATGTTTCTTCCTTTGCTTATCCATGGGGCAGAGGATAGGGAGGCCCGAGATCCAGGCTCAGTATCTTTTCCTCCCGTGCCTCAGTTTCCCCACCTATAGAAAAAAGGGCTTGAGCTCTCCTCTGGTGGAGGCATCTGATCACACAGAAATATCCTTTGGTCTAATCGCGGTGCAGGAAAAGTCGCAGACAGTTTGCATAGAGCTTCACCTCTTCCACCGGGATTCTTAAGCTCAAAGACCCTAGTACATTCCCAGGAAAAACAAAGATAATAAGGCCCTCTTTGGAGGAGTAGGACTAACATTCAGGAATCTTCCAAGCTGTTTCTGGGCGGGCGTGGGCGAAGGAGAGATGGAGGGGCGGGCGGAGTAACTTGTGTCGTGTGTCTCCCACAGGCGCTGGCCCTATGGCTCCGATGGCTGCCAGGCTCACGGCTTCCAGGGCTTTGTGACAGCATTGTCCAGCATCTGCGGCAGCGCAGCCATCGCCTGGGGGCGCTACCACCACTACTGCACCCGTATGTCAACTGTCAATGGACTATCTGTAGTGCGGGAGGATAAGAGGCAGGGAGGGGTGAATAGAACTAAATTCGCCCAGGAACTTAGTGATGTGTTTCCCAGCGCAGAGAGTGTGGGTGGGTGGGGGTGTACCGTGCATAAGATGTGAACAAGCATTTCAGAGAAAGAGGGAGGGTAGGAGAGTGTGCAACAGATCTGTTTTGAGGCATGTGTTGGAAAGATTGCCTCTGCCTTTGCTGCAGCCTAAGGCAAGTCAGGGATCCTCTCTGAGCCTTAGTCTTCTCCTCTATAAGATAATTTTAATAACTAATCTCACAGTTTTATTTTGAAAATCAGATGAGATCATGGATTCACAAAACGTCCTTGCAGTTGGGCAGTGTTAGAGATAGAAGGAGATGAAGAGAGAGAAGCAGTGCATGAGTGTGCACGTGTGTGTGTGTGTGTGTGTGTGTGTAGCTAGGCATGTGACCTAGAAACTCACTCTTCCACAGGGCCTCTGCCATGCCAAAGTTTCATGAAGACTAGTTGCATTGTCAAATGCCATCATCATAATTAGCCATCGCAGTGCGCCACCAAACAGGTTAAATCTGTTCTGATTTTATCTGATATTTTTTTAAACAAACATTTCACATAACTCTTAATTTATTTACTTCTTTCTTTCTTCCTTCTTCCTTCCTTCCTCCCTTTCTTTCTTTCTCACAAAGGATTGACTAAGGGGCATTTTAACACCCAGTTCTTTTAATTTTTTTTTTTTTTTTTATGGACAGGGTCTCACTAAATTGCCCAGGCTGGCCTCCAACTTGCAATCCTCCTTCCTCCACCTCCTGAGTAGTTGGGATTACAAATGTGCACCAACAAACCCTACTCTTAAACTTTTAAAAATCCACTTAGTCTTATTCTAAACAATATCTGCGAAATCACAATTTTAATGTTCTTATAGTTTTAACAAACATTAGAATAAAAATCTTTCACTGCCAGAGGTATAAAAATGTGCTTTGAGAAGCTGTGTATCAGCTAACCCTCCAGCTTGCAGCCTAAGAAACAGAGGCACAGAGAAGTTAAGCAGTTTGCTAAGTGTCAAACAATAGTAGACAAGAGCTAGAATTGAGTGTGGACCAGATGCATCCATAGGAACCTGCTTTCTTTGTTAGCCAAGTCCTGAGCTATGGATTTGCCCAGCATGGAGGCCCCTGTGGGGTCCACAGACAGTACAGCCTTGGTCTCTGAGCATGGCCCCTTTGGAATTTTCAGATCTTCCCCTTGTGGCAGACACACACCTGGCAGCAATGTCACCAACCCTCGTGGGTGTCCCCTATCACATGTCTCTCTCCAGATCAAAACACTGCCTTTGTCCTTATGGTTTTCCAAGGCAGTAAGTTAACCTCTCCTGCCTGCATGGCCATGAGGCACCTCTCCCACCACTTCCCCAAAAGTCCCTTGAACCATCCCTCACCCTCACCCCACCCTTCTCTCAGGCACACACATACACACCTCCTTCTCAGACTGGAATAGGCTTTTCTGCCTCATTCCTCCCAGACCCTCAGTTCAGAGCCCTTTCTGTCCTGGAGGGTTCGATACAGCAGGGTGAAGATGGGAGAGGAGGAGGGAGGAGGTCTGAAACTCACCTGCACCATGTCATGGAGCATCTGTTTCTGATGCTGAAGATCTTGTTGCCACACGTGGGTCAAGATGGACATTGACGATTGTGCCCCCACTTGGGGTGGAGGGCGTCTTAGTCAGCTTGGGCTGCTACAACAAAACTTACCAGAATGGGTGGCTCTAATAACAGAGATTTATTTCTTAGCGTTCTGGAGCCTGGAAGTTCGAGATCAGGGTGCCAGCATGGCCAGGCTCTGGCAAGGCCCCATTCTGGGTTTGTAGAGAGTCGCCTTCTTGCTACATAGTCACAGGGAGGAAAGCAAGATCATCTCTCTCGTGTCCCTTCTTATAAGGGCACCAATCTTTCCATTGGGCCTCCACCCTCATGACTCATTACTTCCCAAAGGCCCTCCCTACCCTCAGTGCCATCACACCGGGGAACAGGGCTTCAGCACATGAAGTGGGAGTGGGGGACACAAACATTCAGTCCATAGCCAGGGAGCACATCCAAGCCAACTCCATCTGGGGCCATATCTGTAAAAGCAACCTGTTGGCTGTGGGAGGTTGCAGATAGGCTCTTCTCATTGACCAAACCCCATCTGGATTCTTGTCTACAAAGAAGCATGACCAATAAACCCCCAACAGAGGAGAGGCTCAGTAAAGGCATTCTGAGCCAGGTCCAGGGAAAGGAATGGAGCCTATGTGGAGGGAACAGCAGGATGTCTGGTCAGTGGGGCTGGACCAGAGCCACAGATGCTGTTGGGACCTGGCCTCTGCTAATGGCCCTGAGATGGAACCCCAGTCTCTGAGTCAAAAGTTCTCAGAGGGTTTCCTAGAAGCAGAGACCAGCTGCTTCTGAGCAAGAGCTGAGGACGGTGGAGAATCCAGACTTCCACGTCTCCCCTCCACTGCTCCCACCTGAACCACTGCCCATGGTTCATTCCTAACCTTGGCTCTGAGAAACACCTCTGTTCCTTCCCTACTCCCTGCTTCTCTCTGTTCTCTGAAGAAGGTGGTACCAATTGTTTATCGGGAGACCTTCACCATCCAGTGTCTCTTTTGTTCTTCATAAGGATCCTCAGAGGAATTATCATTCCCGTTGTGGAGGAGAAAACTGAGGTTTAGAGAAGACCTTTTTTGAGGGGGAGGTACTGGGGATTGAACTCAGGGGCACTCGACCACTGAGCCACATCCCAGCCCTATTTTGTAATTTATTTAGAGACAGGGTCTCACTGAGTTGCTAGAACGTCGCTTTTGCTGAGACTGGTTTTGAACTCACGATCCGCTGGGATTACAGGTGTGCACCACCGAGTCCAGCAAAATTTACTTTGTTTCTTTTTTATGATACTGGGAATTGAACCCTGGGTCTTGTGCAAGTGGGGAAAATACTCCACCAACTGAGCTATATCCCCAGTCCCACCCTCAACTTGCTGGAGGCACCAAGCTATTTAGAATCAGAACTGAGAGTTAGCAAGGTTCTGTGTGACCCTGAAGTCCATTCTTTTTCTCTTGGTCAAGATATCTCCTCCTCACGACACCTCTTCCTCCTGTCTCACACAGGCAGCCAGCTGGCGTGGAACACGGCCATTCCCCTGGTGCTCTTTGTGTGGCTGTCTTCTACCTTCTGGGCAGCACTCCCCCTCCTGGGCTGGGGCCACTATGACTATGAGCCCCTGGGAACATGCTGCACCCTGGACTACTCCAGAGGGGACAGGTGAGGCAGGAGGACCAGCTTCCAGGCTTCCTTCCATGGGAATGTTGGCTTTGAGTTCCTGTGACAAGGTTGTCCCAGCTGAAAAATCCAAATTGAGAAATGCCAACATTTATCAGAAAAATCTCAACTCTGTAGTCATGATGTCCACTTAGACAGGCTGACATTGGGACTGAGGGAAGCCCATCCTGAAGACTGACCAAGGGATGGGAATGTTATACAAACTGGGGCCCAGAGTGGAGCCCGAGAGGGGGCATCATACAGTGTGTCCTTGGCTTCTATCCATCAGAACAGTGGTGGAGCCCTGCTACCCCTAGGCCATCTTCAGCACAGTCAGTTTTTCTGGCTCAGACTTCATAGATTTCTAGAGGGATCCATTCCCTTAGTTCAGTAGATCCAAAGAATGTTGAGGTCTTTGTAGTGGGAGGGATTCCCCTGCATGGAGATCAATTCTAGGAATTCCCTGAGTGTTCTGTGAGCCAGTCGAGAGAGAGAGAGAGAGAGAGAGAGAGAGAGAGAGAGAGAGAGAAACTGAATGTTCTCCACTATCATGGACTGTTTTCTAGTACTTTCCCATCCATGTGGCTACCTTTAGAGGATACCTTGGGGAGTTGGTCACATGGCTCCACTCTCCCTTTTTGTTACCACCAAAGCTGTGTTGAATTCCCTGCTTTCCAAGAGATCTTTTACCTATGAAGCGTCTGCACCTGATGACAGCCTTCCCAGGTGAAATCTACCTGAGGAGCTGAGTGCCATCCCTGTAGGGTATTCTTCAGCTGGGGTCCACTGCTTCTGGCAGCCCTTCCTCCCACCCCTCCTTAGTGCTCATCTCCAAAGTGTTCCTTGGATGGTCTTCCCTTCATGCAATGAAAAATGAGTGAGTCCCACCTGTTCCTGGTCATCCCTTCCACCTCCCTCTGACCACTACCTGAGACCCCAGGCTTCTCTGATCTCCTCAGTGACACAGTGTCCAGTCTCTTTGTCATTCACAGGCTCCTTTCAAATCCCTGTACCTAGAACACCCCTTGAATGTTCCTTCCTCGTGGTCCACTGGCATCTCCCAAGCTAAAGTGTCCCATTCTTCATGCTTGGGGAACAGCCAGGTGAGTGGGGCTGAGCACTTGAACTTGAAGGAGGCTTCTTCCTCATCTCAGCTCCCTGGCTTCTTAGGAGAGTTCAGCTGGGACCAGCAGTGATGGCACTCTGAGCATTTATCTGATGGGAGCGGTTCCCCATCTCTGACTCTCTGGTACAGAGGTGGCTAACCATTCCTGGTGGCTGACTCCCGCTCCTCCACCCTTCCACCTGTAGAAACTTCATCAGTTTCCTCTTCACCATGGCCTTTTTCAATTTTTTCGTGCCTCTCTTCATCACCCTCACATCTTACCGGCTCATGGAGCAGAAATTGGCAAGGAGTGGCCATCTCCAGGTAAGGACCCAGCCCAGAAATCCCTCAGTTCTTTTCAGGGATACTCAGGGATATGCATGACGTGGTGGTTGTTTCCAGGGTTTCCTGTGTTTGCAATGATCAGGAGAAAATTCAATTTGTATAACAATAAACTGTTAAGGCCCAAAACTACCCTCCCCTTGCTCAGATTGCCAAGGCCTGGGGAGCAAAGACCAGAATGGCTCATATTTACCCAGACCCTCTTCCACTGAAAGCCCAGCTCTCCCTGCAGGATGCCATCCATGCTATTACATTCAATTCTTCCAGAGGATTTGAGGCTTAGCACAAAATTGCAGACTCTTTAAATGTTACTTTTAAATTGCTTTGAGATGTTTAATTTAATCACAGTCACAGGCTGTTACCCACAACATAAAGTCACACCTGCAAGCACATTTGTCCAAGAAAAATGATGCTTCAATATAAACCCTCCTGGCCATTTCTGAATGTCTGCATTAATGTTCATTTTTCGTAGTTTGTTACCTGGACAATTTAGCAAATGAGTCATAACAAGCAGCCAAGTTTTTTTTAAAAAAGTATTAGCACTATTTTATATGTATTGTCAGCTCATCTTTGTGACCACTCTCTGAGAAATGAAGGCTTTATTCTCCCTGTGTCACCGACTGGATTGAGGTTAGAGGCAGAGGGAGGTTAGCTAAGCAACTCACCCAAAGCCACACACCTGGAAAGAGCAGAGATAGATCCAGAACCCAGGTCTTAGGCTCTGACACCCAATTGCTCAATTATAGTCATAAAAGAAATACTCCATTTTATTAAGACACTTAATTTGCTACTTCATTATTTTTCCTTTGAATTAGAAAGGGATTCTAAAAATTTATTTTAGCTGGACATCCACATACCTCTGAGCCCGCAGGAGGAGTGTGGGGGTTGCACTGGGACCAGAATCCAAATCCCTGGCTTGAAGCTCACTTCTGGCTCTGGCACCCCCTCCCTCCCAGGCTGTCCTCCACTCTGCTCTCTCCAACCTGTCTGAATATGCAAAGTCACCAAATTTCTTGAAGTTTTGATCAGCCAAGAGATAAGACTGTCACTGTGACTTTGTCATTTTCCCCACTGACTTTAAATTACCAGCTCTGGTAGCATCAGCTGTAGTCACCATGCATGAGCCCAGGGACCTCAGCCTAAGGTTTCTGGAGATGACATGGTCTCCCACGGAAGTTCCAATTTCTCCTTCAGCCTCAACTTCTCCCCAGAAGAATCCATCAGTCCTAAGCACCCATCCTCCCCACCCCCTGTAGAATGAGGTACAATTCAAGAGAAAAAGAAATGTCTCCTGGTCAACATATTTTCAAAATCTAACGTTGAAGAAAATGTGTCCTCTTCCAATTTAAATTGTCTTCTCTGTTAAAAACACACATCAATGAGAAAACAGGCAGGGATATTTTGCATCAAATTTTTAGCATCTGAATATATGCCAGGAAGCAATGACAGGGCAAATACATCCTGAAATTTGATCTTGATTTGTGCGCCCCCTTGTGGCCATGGGTGGTATCATATTATAATCCCTTTGTGGCCACTAGGTGGTCCTTAAACATCACCCACTTTCCAGACCAGCCCTGTTCTCTGGTTGTTTCTCATACTGTGAAATCTTTGATACAGACAGGTCAGTATTACCAGGCGGCTACAGCTGCTGATGGCAAGTTGGTTCTGGTCTTGAAGTTTAAAGGCAGCTCAGCCTGGGACCCTTATGCACATAGTCATTGGAGCCCAGGATTCCTCCCACCACCAGTGCTGTGAATTGAACCAAGGGCTTCAGGCATGCTAGGCAAGCAATATACTACTGAGCTACATCCCCAGCCCCAGGATTCCTCTTAAAGAGCAGAGACTTAGAAGGAAGCTTATTATCTTTCCCTGACCCCCAGTGCCTGCCTCCAGGCAAGTCAAGTATTGTTAGCACATTTTACAGACAAGGCAACTGAGGTTAAGTAAGCTTAAACAACAGGCTTAGGGTCACCCAGCCTTAAATGGCAGAGAGGCCCATCAGATCCCAAGTTCCTCTTCAGGCTTAGCTTCTTCCTGAAACCTGGTCCAGGCTGCTCAGAGCCCCTGAGTACAGATCTGGTCTCCCTGCCTACCCAGAGTTGTGGCCACCCTAAGTGAAATGACACCTCCTGTGACAATTTTTCCCAGGTGAACACCACTCTGCCAGTCAGGCTGCTGCTGCTCGGCTGGGGCCCCTATGCCCTCCTGTATATATTTGCAGCCATCATGGATGTGAGCTCCCTCTCCCCCAAACTTCGAATGGTAAGGTCACTTCCAAGACCCAAAGCTAGAACCCACTCCATTGTTTTGTGTTTCTTTGTGTCACCCATATCTCCTATTGACTTTCTGGCCTCTGTATCAGTCTCTCTCTCTTTGCCACTTCCTTTGAGTGTTTATAATGCACATCTCCTGGGCCACAGGAGACTGAGATGATAGGGACAGATAGTCAGAAGGTGACACTCAGGTTTTGAGTGGAAGTGTATTCCTATGGGGTTCTATGAATCATGCATCATCTGCCAGCTAGTCAGGGAGAGCTCCAAGGCTGCAGAATCAAACCAAGGACAAATGATTAGCAGTTGCGGGGGGGGGGGGGGGGAGACTAGAGCATCTAAGTTGGACCAGGGGGAGAAGCAGAGGCTTCAAAGCATCTTTCCTGGATTTTTCTGTGACAACAGGTGCCTGCCCTCGTTGCCAAAATGATGCCCACAATCAATGCCATCAACTATGCCCTGCGTGGCGAGATGTTCTCTGGGGGAATATGGCAGTGCCTGTCACCACAGAAGAGCAAGCAAGACAGAGCCCAGTGAACCTCTCTGAGGGACTGCTGAGACCCAGACCCATTCCTGACACCCTGGACCGAGACCCTGCCCAAAGCCTGTCCCAGATCCTGTCCATCAGCCTCAGAAGCCAAGCCCCAGACACTCATCTACCAACCCCAATGGCCCCGTTGAGCCTGACCCTAGGTTGAACACAGGGATACAGAGACCCCAAGCTGCATGGAAAGATGGTCATGATATCCCCCACACCAAGGCTAAGAGACCTTGAGAAAGTCACTCTCTGTCCCATGAGTTACCTGACCCCTAGCATAAAGATATAAATATGGCTGTGCAGGGTTGTATGAAGCTTGAACAACATAACATGTATTTACCACGCTCATAGAAAATGCCCATTAAAACACAGCTATTGGTATAAGCTTTGACCAGGCCCTTTGGGACTCTGAGTCTTACATGGAAAGGAGAATACCCCTGAGGTTTGCTTATGGAAGCTGGACTCAGGCTTCCAGCATTCCAACACCACTTCTTAAATCCTGATGTGACACCAGTGACTTACCCTGTCCCTGCATCTGTGTCTCAGCTGATGAAATGAGATGACAGTAATGGTGACCTGTCTGCACAGATAGAACCAGAAAATTATCTGCATGTCAAGTACTCCCTGGGAGTTAGCCACCAGCACACATCAGTCAGAGCCAGCTCCTGGATCTATGGGGCTTGGCCTGCATACTGCTTAAAAATGGGGATTAGTTGCCAATATTTTAAAATCTGAATAATTTATGTAAAGCTCCAGATGTCAGAAGATGAGGCCTCACCAGTTTGCCTTCCTCCATAATGACAGGGTTCAGAGCTCAGGGTGGTTCTTCCCTTTGCCCAGTACACAGACTCTCCAGTTAGTGGCAGCTCATGCGTTGTCTGTAGAGCGCAGGTGTCTGTGGGTTGTGACACTAATGCAGGGGTCCCCATTTATCTCTGGATGTATGTCTGGATGCATCTCACACAGAGCCAGCACTTCAGGGGAAAGGTGTGGCAAGAGCCCAGTCCTGGGTGGACCCATTGCTCTAGAGGAAGATGGTGATGATTAGCAGGGTGATGAAGGGCCATATGAGAAGCCTACGGTGGAAGAGCAGGTGGTCCAGGCCCCATGGAAGCAAGAAGAAAGCCCCATCCCATCAAATAGAGGGGACAAATAGATAAGTGTACAGGGATGGGAGTGGGAGTGGTCATGTGAACAGCATTCGGGGTCCCTGTGGACCAAGATCTACCTTTCAGCTTTGCACATCCAGAAAATCAGACCACATATCCATAACTGAAAGGAAGTTTTCACAAAACAGGGGATCATCCTTTTATTTTGCAAAACCAGGTGGGGAGAGGAGAAGTGGCAGCCTCTCCAAAGCACCGTTTCCTCCACCATGCCCTGTGCCAGATGCTATGGAGATAAAATGTCCCTGGCACACTCCAGGATCCCCAAAGCATTTTTGTCCTAGGCTCTGGAATGATGGCAGGAAAGGAAACTCCCAGTGTCTAAACCAGAGTTGAACTCACACTGGCTGAACAGATTCCCAGGAAAGTGATGGGGTCCAGGGCCTGAGATGTTGACCCACCTCCCACAGCCAATCAGTCTTTGTTGGGGACCTGCCATTCATTCCACCCCTGGAGACACTAACCCCCACAGCATGGATGAGAGAAGAGGGTGAGATGACCCTTTCCAGAGAAGGGGTGTAGACAAGAGGATGCTGAAGACACAGCAAAAGTAGACAGTGTCAACGTTTTTCAAAGGCCAGGCCTGGGTCCCCAAGAGAAGGGAAAAGAGCAAACAGATCAAAATCCTCACCTGTGCTCAGAGAAGAAGTGGGGAGGAAGGCAGGTTGGCCAGGCTGAAGCCAGGGACACTTTCAGCTCAAGCCATGCCCACCTGGAGGCTTGCTGGAAGAGGAAGGGTGGGCTGAGGCCTCTCTGTACCCTGGCCTGGGTTGGAGGAGGTGGGAAGGACTTAGCAGCAGCCCATGGAGATGACCAAAGCCCTACTGAAGCATTTTACTTTCAAAGCCCCGAGTCTGCCCACAAGTCCAAACCTCAGGCATGAAATGACTTTAGGGAAGCTTAATACCTCTAGACCAGGTCCCAAAGCATTTTGGGGATCTTGTGTTCCCTGTGGAACGGGCACTGCATGTAGGGCCTCTCCTGTGCCCTCCTTCCTGCCACCTCTAGCACCCTACCCTGCTGTGCATGCAGAACTCAGCTCCCTCTGAGGCAAGTGGGACAAAGGAAGTGGCTGAGTCCCACTGGAGGTCCACCTCCCTGCAGGCCCTTGGCACAGATGCTGAGCTTGGACAGGAATCAAAGCCTCCTGCCCATGGCTGGCACTTGGCCAGGACTTGATAGATATTAGGCCACAGCCTCCAAAGACCTAGAACCTCCTCAGGCCCACTGTATTCTACCAACCCCCAGGGCAGATTCACAACCCTCAGACTCTGTTATTGTTTTGTTGTTGTTGTTATTTTTAATGAACATAAATCACTTCTACAATCAGAAAAACATAAAGAAAAAATGCATTACTCCCTCTGTGGAGTGTTCCTTTCCTGGCCACTAGCCTGCATCTGATTTGAAGAAAGCCCACCACCACCATTTCCTTTGCTTTCTTGTCTCCCCCTCAGGCTCCTGTGAAGCAATTCAGGATCCTTTCTTGGGAACCCCTAAGTCTCTTTCCTCCTTTCACTCATGTGTCTCCTTAATGCCACCTGCTAGCAGGGTGTCCTGTCCCCACACACAGACACATTGGGTTTGGAGGGAGCACACCAGCATGGTCCCCCCAACACACACTATCAGCCACTGGCACCATGTGTTTTCCCAAGTCCCTGCACCCCAGGAGAACTGCGGCCACATCATGGAAAGGAGAACAAGGAAGAGGAGAGAGACCTGAGCCCCGAGAAGTCAGGAAGGATGAAAGCAACAGAAGCTGTGCTGGAGCCTCATGGTCAGAACCTGAGGGCTCCGGGCATCGTCACAGAGCCCTGAGGAGCCGTTCCAGACTTGCCCCCTGAGGCCTCACCACACTCCAGGCCCATTAGCTCAGCCCATCCTGCTCTACTGAAAGAAAGTGCTTATACACAGACCTCCAGAATGCTTTTGGAAAAGGCCACAGGGAGAGGTGGGTTACCCGAACCAGGCAAGCCAGGCTCCAGCAAATGCCACCGTCAGCAATCACTTCCTCATTTGTAAAAACAGTATCCATGTGACCCCATTATCCCTGTCTCTGTCACTTAGCTCTTGTTCATGGATTCATCCAATACCTATTTAGTGAACAGCTGCTGTTAGCCTGACACAGTGGGCGACAGGATGAGACCCTGGGAAGATCCTTGCCAGTTACCTCAGGAAAACGTCCGTCACCTCTTTACCTTGTCATGGCATCTGAAAAAAAAAAATGTGCTAAATGGGTAGGAAGTCAAAAATAGGAATTATGGTGCAATTGTGTCCAACGAAGTGAAATCAGGCATAATAATAAGAGTCTTCAAGATAATCCAAAGTTTCTTTCAGAATCTCTGCAAGTCCTTACCTCAAAACTAAACTTTTTCCCTTCTTTCCAGATAAATGAAACATGAACACTGAGCTTCACTGTGTACTTGGTCCACAAGAATTGTCCTGACTTTCAATGCATAGCCCCTTTCAGGGCCATTCTGGATTTTTAAAATTTTCTGGGGTTTGACTGGGCATGGTGGCACACGCCTGCAATGCTGGAGAGTCAGAAGGCTGAAGCAGGAGGATCCCAAGTTTGAGGCCAGCCTTGGCAATTTAGTGAGAACTTGTCTTAAAATAAATAAAAAGAGCTGGAGACGTAGCTCAGTGGGAAAGCACCCTTGGATTCAATCCATAGTACAAAAAAAAAATTCTGGGGTTTGGAGCAGGACTCAGTGGTCCACACCTGTAATTCCAGTTATTTGGGGAGTGGGAGAAGTCAGCTGAGGAAGCTGAGGTCGAGGTTAGTTTGGGCAACTTAGTGAAACCCTGTCTCAAGATAAAAAAAAAAAAATTTAAAGGGCTGGAAATATAGTTTAGTTGTAGAGCACCCCTGGATTCAATCCGCAGTACCACAAATAACAACGATAATAATAGTTATGGGATTTGACCTGAGAACTTAAATGCCACCATTATTTCTTTTCTTTTATTTCCTTTTATTTCCTTTTCTTTCCTTTCCTCTCTCTCTCTCTCTCTCTCTCTCTCTCTCTCTCTCTCTTTCTTTACCAGGGATTGAATCAGGGGCACTTGGCCACTGAACCACATCCCCAGTCCTATTTTGTATTTTATTTAAAGACAGGGTCTCATTGAGTTGCTTAGCACCTTGCTTTTGCTGAGGCTGGCTTAAATAACCACCATTATTTCTAAGAACAATTTTTCCTAGATTCTTTCTCCTACCAGAAAAAGGCCACATGCATGCGCTCTCCTGTTGTGACTAAGCTCTGGCCCTGTTGTCCCCTGGCTGGGTGGCTTTGGGAGCTGAGGACCCTCTTTGACCCATCCTGTCTCCCCAGTCTCAGTGGGCTCTGACAAGGACAAAAGGTTCTAAAATATCAAAATTGTCTTTTTGAACAAGGTGTTTGTTATGACTAGAATATTTATATGCCCCCAGAATTCCCACCAGTGGAAGCCCTGATCCCCAGTGTAGCTGTATGCTGGTTTGAGGTCTCTAACAAGTAAAGTTAAAGGAGGTCAGAGGGTGGAGCCCTGATCTTACAGGAGAGTGTCCTTAAGAGACACCACAGAAGGGAACTCTCTTCCTCCCCCTTTCCCAAAGACCTCATAAGTAGACAGTGAAAAGGCTGCGGAATGCAACCCCAGGAGGGAGCCTCCTTGACACCAACCTTGTCAGCTCCTTCACCTCACCCTTTCATCCTCTAAGATTGTGGAGAAAATACTTTTTTGTTGTTTAAGCCCCCCACCCCCGTCTATTGTATTTTCTTATAGCAATGCTAGGAAATTAATGCAACGTTCTGTTAAAGCTCATTGTTTAAAACAGTTGACTATGGGGGGAAGGCAAG